TGATTCTCCTCTTATCTGTCTCCTCACCTTCATGGTGTGATTTGAGGTAAACCCCACCATTGAGTTTGGGGAAATCTTCGCCACATCTAGGTATAAATGCTCCTCCTCAACCACCTCATCCTCATCACAGACTGTAAGTACTTGCAAGGTACGGTCAATACAGTAGTGGTCCGGTGTAAACTTCTATCACAATGGAAATATAGTCCCTTAGCCCGCTTCTCCTGAACCTCTGGCTCAGTCAGCCTCTTAAAATTTCTCCTGGGTCGTGCTCCCAATCCCACATCTTTAGATATTTCTCTCTAAATGGGCACATGCTGTACCTTTGGTGCCAGAAAAGTAATCATCCGGTATGAAGCTCCCGAACTGCTGCCCTTGCTGCTTTGATCAAGTGAGTTTTTGTCCTCCACAAACTAGGCTGGCTCTATAGCCTCTCCCAGCCCTCGTGGCCTCAATAATCGGACAATGTACCCTGATCTTTAGCTTGAAATCCTTCATGAAATTTTCCTCCAGCACTGTCTCGTATAGCCTCCCCAATCGGCTAGAAAGGTATTCAAATATTTCACGATAATCCGTCATTGTTTCTTCCCGAGCAATAAAAAAAAAAAAAGAACTGCTTGTACATATCTCCTTCCCAATTGGTGCGAAAACGTTCTAATAAACTATTTTTGAACTTCCTCCATGATCGGATTGGATCTCTCATGTCTCTCAACTGATACCAAGACTAGGCCTTCCCCTCCAAGCATAAAGCCGCCACCGTGAGTCTCTCCTCATCCGTCAGCCTATTCACCGCTAAGTACCTCTCCACCCTATAGATCTTCCCATAAGCATCTTCCCCCCAAAAAATAGGCATCTTCATTACTCTCACTCTTGGATCCCCTTCACCCATTTTTCTCTTCCACATTCGGCTCCTCCCACATAGCGATTGTTGTGATCTCTCCATTATTCTCTACCACTCCTCTTTTCATAGAAATATTCTTCCTCAAAAATCAACTCTCCTCGTATCTTCCTCCCAATTTCTCTTGGTTATCAGTTTAGGAGGCAACATATTTTCTTTGTCGCCCAAGATTTCTACTTCTCGATCATCCCTCATGGTGCCGATATTGGGGTTACCCTTACTTCCTTGGCCACCCGCCGGTGCTCTCACCTCTGATTTTGCCGGTTGGGTTTGAAGCTCAAATATTTTCTTCATCATGTCCTCTACTTTAGAAAATCTTCCTTCCATGGATGAAAACTATTCCTCAACTTTAGAGTTGAGTTAGCCAACTTCTCGATATTGTTTCTCTTCCAAAGCATTCATTTTCTTAGCCTCCATAGGTCCAAAAAAAGTTATCTTATACCAATTTGATTGGAATTTGGCCTATACACAGCGAAAACATCAAGAAGGAAGAAAAAATGCAGCAGGAACCGGCGAGAAAAATTGTTATTTCAGCACAACAAACTAATGTACAAGTTGATCTATTATTCGAGAGGTAGATTAACTCTCTACAAACTCTAGGCGCCGCTAGGAATAACTCAAAAACAAACTACATCAAACATAAATAATCTAATAATCCTAAAATAATCCCATTAACCCTAATATAAAGCTTTCTAATTCCCTTCCAAAATCTAAATTCAAATTAGCATTTCTTTCTTTAAATAAACTTTCCTAATTCCCTCCATAATTTGAATTCAAACTAGCCCTCTATCCTTAAATAAACTTTCCCAATTTCCTTTTAATTCTTGTCTTATATGGTAAGTAATTAGAGGTGGAATTATTCCCCTTTGAGCCCCTCTCTCATCTTGTTTTCCGCCCACCTTAGTGGGGCTCACTTGCTCAGCATCCACAGGTCTATCAGAAGCCAGTGAGTTTTTAGGTAAGTGATCAACTGCATCTTGTACATAATACTTTTGGTGTATAGTTTTGAGAATAGATAAAAGACAAACAAGTTATAAATTAAAGATTTTGGGCGCACATAATTTTATCTTTAGTAAAACTCTATATTTTGCATTGATGAATATTGTGCATGCTTTTGAATATTTATTTATGAGATATAGTATAGTAATTGAAGTACAATATATGTGTTGCGATAGTTTGGACATATTAATTTTCTATTTACTCGATCCTAATGAGTGTAATTCATGATGGGTGTTGGTGAAAATTGTATATGATTGGATTATCCGGTTATGCTCATGTTGACTAAGGGGGGTCAAAATGGGGTGTGTGACTATTGAGCTCCAACATACCAACAACTTCCCTATGTCCTTAGATAGCATCACTAGTGACCATCTCCCAACTCCACCCAACTGTCTATCTCACGTCCAAGCCTACTTCAATTCACAAATCAAGAATGCTACAATACTCTTATTAGGAGTGTTCTCCAACATCAAGCCGAAGATGCAATTAATTATAGGGGCTACGATGATGGAAAACCTCAATATCTCAAATCCAATATAAACATAGTCCAATATGCTTCCTAGAGGATATTTATTTTAAAGTGAAATTATTTGTTTTAAAAGATTCTATGTTGCCAATATTCGGTCTTAGACTTCCAAAGAGTTCAAAGGGAGGGATCTCACTATGGTCTCATGAGCATTTTTTATAGCCCATGCTTGCTATATAGTTGTACAATTATGTTTATCCTTCGCCGCATTACAATATGATTTCCTTGTGTTTTACAAGAGGCGACTCTTTCTAGACCTCGCTATTTTCTCATAAAAGATTGATTGATAATTCCCTTACCCGTTGATAATACATTATTAATTTTGTTAATGTAATGTTATGAAATGAGATAGACGACTACAAAGCTGAATCCAAATAACGTGTTTTTTTTAGCTATGAAATGGATGTTTACAGTTTCCTTTTGTTTCTTTTAAGCTGATATCCACCTTTTTATTTTTTCACTTTTTTAGATCCATTCAGCTGCAAGTATCTTGGATAAGAACTATCTGATCAAGTATGATAGAAAGAGCGGGTATTTCCAGGTCACCGACCTGGGCAGAATTGCAAGTTATTATTATATAACTCATCGAACAATATCAACATACAAGGAATATCTGAAGCCGACCATGGGTGATATTGAGCTTTGCAGATTGTTCTCTCTTAGTGAAGAATTTAAATTTGTTACCGTGAGGCAAGATGAGAAGATGGAATTGGCAAAGCTCTTAGATCTGGTCCCCATTCCAGTGAAAGAAAGTTTAGAAGAGCCCAGTGCAAAGATTATGGTTCTTCTACAGGCTTACATATCACAGCTGAAGCTTGAGGGACTTTCATTGGCCTCTGATATGGTTTTCATAAGACAGGTTAGTATTTCTTTAATATTGCCTTGATCGGTTTAATGTTTGCTGGTTTATAGTTCTAGATACATTTATCATGATTCTACTGAAAATGAAACTGTTCATTGAAACTCTAAGCTTTATGTGGTAGAGTGCTGGTCGTCTTCTACGAGCTTTGTTTGAGATTGTCTTAAAGAGGGGATGGGCTCAACTGGCTGAGAAGGCTTTGAACCTGTGTAAGATGGTTGATAAACGCATGTGGAATGTTCAAACTCCATTACGCCAGTTTCATGGGATACCAAATGAAATTCTAATGAAGCTGGAGAAGAAGGATTTGTCCTGGGAAAGGTACTATGACCTTAGTACGCAGCAACTTGGAGAGTTGATTCGCTTTCCGAAGATGGGAAAGCCACTTTACACATGTATTCACCAATTGCCAAAAGTTAACCTAGCTGCGCATGTTCAACCCATCACTCGAACTATATTGAGTTTTGAGCTGACGGTAACTCCAGACTTTCAGTGGGATGATAAAATACATGGTTATGTTGAACCTTTTTGGGTCATTGTTGAAGATAATGATGGTGAATATATTCTGCATCACGAGTATTTTATACTTAAGAAACAGTATGTTGAAGAAGATCACACTTTGTGTTTTACCGTGCCCATTCATGAGCCTCTGCCGCCTCAGTATTTTATTCGCGTAGTATCTGATCGATGGCTTGGTTCTGAAACAGTATTGCCTGTTTGTTTTAGGCATCTTATCCTGCCAGAGAAATACTCCCCACCAACAGAATTGCTTGATTTGCAACCCCTTCCGGTGACTGCTTTGAGGAATCCTTCTTATGAAGCTCTTTATGATACCTTCAAGCATTTTAATCCTATCCAGACTCAAGGTTTTACCGTCTTATACAACACTGATGACAATGTCCTGGTTGCAGCACCAACAGGCAGCGGGAAGACCATATGTGCAGAGTTTGCCATTCTGAGAAATCATCAAAAACTCCCTGAAAGCGAAATGCGTGTTGTTTATATTGGTGCAATTGAGGCTTTAGCTAAGGAAAGGTATCGTGATTGGGAAGAAAAATTTGGAAAGCACCTAGGTATATCTGTTGTGGAGTTGACAGGCGAGACAACAACTGATTTGAAACTGCTTGAAAAGGGACAAATAATCATCAGCTCTCCAGAGAAATGGGATGCTCTTTCTCGTCGGTGGAAGCAGCGCAAACATATTCAGCAGGTCAGCCTTTTCATTGTCGATGAACTTCATTTGATTGGTGGGTCAGTTGGTCCAGTCTTGGAGATAGTTGTTTCCAGAATGAGGCGCATCGCAAGTCATACTGGTTCAAACATCCGGATAGTTGCTCTTTCAGCCTCCCTTGCAAATGCTAAGGACCTTGGGGAATGGATTGGCGCTACTTCTCACGGCCTCTTTAATTTTCCGCCTGGTGTTCGCCCTCTTGATCAAGAAGTTGTGAAGCAGTTATTCTTCAGCCGAAGAATTCAAGTTTGTGTTGCAAGCAGCTCAATGTGTTGGGGAATGTCGTTGCCGGCTCACTTGGTTGTTGTCATGGGTACCCAATATTATGATGGGCGGGAGAATGCTCATACTGACTATCCAATCACTGATTTATTGCAGATGATGGGACATGCAAGCAGGCCTCTTATAGACAGTTCTGGAAAATGTGTAATTCTGTGTCATGCTGCAAGAAAAGAATATTATAATAAATTTCTTTATGAAGCATTCCCGGTTGAGAGTCATCTGCATCACTTCTTGCACGACCATATGAATGCTGAAGTTGTAGTTGGTGTGGCTGAGAACAAACAGGATGCGGTGGATTATCTTACATGGACCTTTATGTATAGAAGGCTCACAAAAAATCCAAATTACTATAATCTTCAGGGTGTCAGCCACAGGCATCTTTCCGACCATCTTTCTGACCTTATAGAAAATACATTGAATGACTTGGAATCAAGCAAGTGCATTATCATAGAGGAGGACATGTATCTCAAACCTTCTAATCTTGGATTGATTGCTTCATATTATTACATTAGCTACACCACCATAGAGCGTTTCAGTTCATCTTTGTCTCCAAAAACTAAAATGAAAGGTCTACTTGATATTTTAGCATCTGCCTCAGAATATGCACTGCTGCCAATTCGTCCTGGGGAGGAGGACTTGATCAGGAAGCTTATTCATCATCAAAGATTTTCTTTTGAAAATCCTAAGTGCACAGATCCACATGTGAAGGCAAATGCGCTCCTGCAAGCTCACTTCTCTAGGCATAATGTGGTTGGAAATTTGACAGCAGACCAGCGAGAGGTGCTACTTTCAGCTCATAGGCTCCTTCAGGCTATGGTTGATGTCATCTCTAGCAATGGTTGGCTTACCCTTGCCCTTTTGGCAATGGAGATGTGTCAGATGATTACTCAGGGAATGTGGGAAAGAGATTCCATGTTGCTCCAGCTTCCTCATTTCACTAAGGAGTTAGCTAAGCGTTGTCAGGAAAACCCGGATAGAAGTATCGAGACGGTATTCGATTTGGTAGAAATGGAAGATGATGAAAGACGCGACTTATTGCAGATGTCAGACGCCCAAATGCTTGATATTGCTCGGTTTTGCAACCGCTTCCCTAACATTGACATGGCTTATGAAGTGCTGGATGCAGATGACATTCTTCCTGGTGAGGATGCCACTTTGCTGGTTACACTGGAACGTGATCTTGAGGGTCGCATGGAGGTTGGATCAGTTGATGCTCCCCGATATCCCAAGCCTAAAGAAGAAGGCTGGTGGCTTGTTGTTGGTGATAGCAGCAACAACCAATTGCTCGCTATAAAAAGAGTTGCACTTCAAAGGAGAGCCAAGGTTAAGCTTGTTTTTGCTGTCCCTAAAGATGTTGGGAAGAAGTCTTTCACGATCTACTTTATGTGCGACTCTTATCTGGGTTGTGACCAGGAATACAACTTTACCGTTGATGTCAAAGAGTCTAGGTAAGTATAATAATAAATAAGTGGCTTTCCCTTGTGATAGATGCAAAAGTTTGTCAATTACAGTCTTGCTTATTGTTTTAATATGTCTTTGGAGTTTGTGACATGCTGAATTAACGTCTTGACTTTGTATATCTTAGTTCACCATATATTTTTATGGTGTCTATGTATCTCATTTGTGTTAATGATTTATTTAATAGAGTGATTTATGCCATGAAATCATGTGTAAGCTTCCCTTTTATGTGTTTTTGGTTTGAAAATTTTTATCCTTAAAAATGGTTTAGTTATTGAATTTGGTTTCATATATATGTACAATCTCCATGTAGTCTAGTCTTTCAATTTATTGTCCATAGAATCTGTTAGGTGTTTGTTGATGAGGCTTTTTTCAAAATTTTTAAGAGAAGGCATAGGTGGGTCTTTTTTCTTTTTCTTTGGGGTTGGGCTCGATGAGGTTGGTGGATTATGCCTTGATAAGCAGTATATTGCATTTTAATGTTTGTACGCTTTGTTTTGATATCTGGGTTATGGGGTTGAGACTCTAGGACATTTGTGTGGATTCTCGTCATGTATATATATATATATATATATCATATTTGAACAATGTACTTAGTTCATTTCAATCGGTGGGTGTTATAATTATCATAATAATAGCTTCTCATTCTGATTGAAATTACCGACACTCTACTTTTTTATTTCAAATTGTCCATCTCATTTATATCTTAAGACTTCATTGAGCTATGCATGTTGAATAAGATTAATTTGTAGAATAGATTCTTTGATGATCGAAGTAAAAGTGAGTACCCGTTGAAGAAAAACTAATTTTATTGAACTTCACATAGAATACAAGAAGTAATGAAGTATAGCAAGTAAGAATATGCTCAAGTTGTTAGTGTTGAAGTTTTCCTTTATCTTAACTAGGCTTTGTGTGTTATGGTTGTGTGATTGTGAAAGTTTGCTAATTTCTTTCTCCTTGATGGTACTTGTAATGTTGTACTGAGACTTATCCTAGTACATGACAATCTCATGAAATTAGCATTACCATTTATAATGATATTTCAATTTTTATCATCAGAAAATCAGCAACCAAGATCATCAACTCCGTATCTAAGTAACATTGAGTTGATTCCAATTGCATGTCAGAAAGAAATCCAAAAACCTTAAAAAGTGTCCATAATTCTTCACTTAGTTTACTAGAGTCCACTATTGATAATATAAACTACAGTAATTATAAAGTCTGCTTAGAAAGCTTGGACAGCCTAACATGCAATCTCATGCTGCTTGCTTTTTCATTTAGGGCCTTATTCATGCGCTCAAAATATCCTCATTCTGTGCGTTTTTGGACCAGTCCTCTCTATACATATATCACCTATTGGGAAAAATTGTTTGTGATATTTTCTTATATTGTCTGATCTTAGATTATTGACCTTTTGCCCATATTATTTCTCCAGCTGACTTTTCCATCTCTTGAAACAAGCAAGCACATCAAAATTATTTTTTCAGAAAACAAAGCTATATCTGCCTAGCGGCCATCAACAAAAGTGATAGAGTATGATGAGTCTGTAAGGGTTGCCCTTGGGAATAGTCCCTAGACATCAGTGTTCACAAGCTCTAAATTATTATTCTTAGGCTCTCTTGTAGTTAATGTGAAGCTGGTCTTCCTATGCTTGGCAAAAGTATAGTCTTTACACAAACTGTCATGCATAAACTTCAAATTTGAAAGTTTTCCATTGAATGCAGTGCTAACCTTCGATGCCATGTATTCCACATTTGTTTCCATTATTCCAATGTTTTAGGTAAAGAGTGTCATAGTTGCTATCATTATAGTACTATTGGTCATTTTGTAAGTATCAGTTTATAAGGTTAACATTTAAGCTTCATTATCAATCTGTCCATTTGAGATCAGGTTCTTTTTGTAGTCAAGAATGTGCCTCACAATTTGAAGCATCTACATGGGCTGACTTATCATTTTGATTTGCAAATCACCAACTCTTATAAAGTTCATGGCTCATCATCATCAAGATAAACTTTCCCAAATATCATGCAAAATAATTAGGTATAAGCTCTTTATATGAATTAGTTAGAAAAGACAAACTTAGTTTGGGTTTCATTACTTCTCAAGATTATTCACATCAAAGATTTTCCCATCACAAATCTCTTTAGTTGCAACATTCTTAGATTCATTCATTTTTTTGAATTTTTTTCTTCAATCCTTTATGAATTATTTTATTTACCTAATTTTGCCGGAAAGCACCACTACAACCTTTATATTGAATTTACTACAATTTGAACTAACCTCCATTATTTCGTGTCATTGTACTTCTTTTCAAGATTTTGAGTAAAAGATCGGCCTTCACCAAATTTTCTTCTCCTAATATTTTCACGTAAGATCAAATCACATACATCATTAAGCTATGTGGACTCACATGAACTGTTGGTGTCTGTCACAGTTCCACCTCAGCTTGTTAGAAGGGGATGATAAAAAGCTTAATGCATAAATTTTGTCTTCAAAGTTGATATTAATTGAACTCAATTGATTTGTGATTAGACTGAACTCTTTGATATGCTTTGTTGCTAAAGTGCCTTACACTGTCTTAGATTAACATTTTCAAATTTATTTCTTCATTCATTGTTGAAGATTTCTCATTCATGTTCAATAGAGTTTTCATCGCTCTAGCTGAAGTCTTCTCATGCAATATATTCAATGCAATATTTTGTCATTATTGGACGCACAACTTTGTGGGATAAAAGCTTAATGTTGGTATTGGTTGCACAACTCTAACAACCTATTTGATAAGGAGTCGTCAGTCTTCTTGACTCATGGTTGTCGATTTAAATTTCAAGAGAGTAGATTGTTTTAGGGTACTAAGTGATGTAGAACGAGAATGGGCTTTGCTAGGGAGAGGAAGAATTTGAAAAATTCTCAGATTTTCATCCCAAAATCTGTGAGACGTCTTAGAGTTTTGAGCTTAGGAAATAGAGATGGGAGAGGGAGAGCCAACCCAAGGTGAGGTCTTGGGGAAGGATCGGTCAACATCAGATTGCAAATCCCAAGCCTCCTTTCATTGGTTTGAGAAGGATTTCAAAATTTGAAACCAAAATCTGAGAAGAATCTCAGAGTTTGATAGGCTAAGATGAAGAGAAAAGTGGGGAGGAGGCCAAGCCGTGACTAGGAGTAGAAGGCTGAGTGAGATTTCCTGCACATGCTATGGATTAGAGAGTTCTTCACATGCAGGTAGGCAAGGGGAGGGGAGGTGATGGGAGAAGCAGCTGACGGGATTGTGAGGTTGGCGGGAGGAGTTAGGGAGAGGTTTGGAATTCCTTAATTAATTCCTTAGATGTGGAATTAATTGAGGAGTTACGGGCAAGGATTAGCAAGAGCAAAACTATGGCAGCAAACCACAGGAGCAATAAAGGTAGGGAGAGGAGTAATGAGAAGGAGAGAGGGGCGGTAAGAGAGAGGGGCTGCGGTTTGTAAAGGGGCTGGAGTTTTGATTTGTTTCCCAAAGAGAAATTCTCCGTTGGAAAGAAATTAAGTAGAAAGGGAATAGGTAATTTCGGCCAGGGAGAGATAGGGGGGTTTTGAAATTATTTCCTAAATAAGGGGGAGAGTTTTAGGAAATAAATAAAAGGAATTTAATGGGTATAGGAAGGGCCGGCAGCTTGCATGAGGGTGGGAGGATTTTATGGGATTAATTAAGGCTTCCTAATTTAAGTTTTGAGATTAGAAAAGTTTTAAATTAAATTTACAATAGCTAAAGGCCCTATATATAGGCCACAACATGAGAAAATAAAAAATTACAAAATTGCCCCTTGGGTCACAACACTCAAATAAATTAACATAGGGGTAAAATAGGAAATAACATAAAATAAAAACTAAAATGCAGAAAATAATTCATAAATGACAACTTAAATCAGAACCGTCGATTTACGACGCCTCCTGTGATAGATGCGCCAGATTTTCGTGCCGATGTCCGCATCACTAAGGGCTCTAAAAAATTCCTCATTGGGAGAGTTTAGGGTGATTCCATGTCAAATTTTTGAAAGGCAGACTAGGTTGAAGATAAGATACTACTTATATATTTATTTTTATTTGGCAGGAATTTTATGTTATTTCTAGGTTTCTCATTGGTATAAACCCTTAAAGTTAATAAACACTCTTGATAATGAGAGAATGTTTGTTTAAAGTTAGTTGTTAGATAGTGTGGGCTCCGAAAATTCGACCCTGGCCTCCGCTCCCGCTTTTCCTTCGGCGAGGGAGTTTTAACAAATAAGTTCCGAGGTAAATTTTGGAAGGCAGATGGGTTTGCAGATAAGACACTACCCAGAGATTTCGCCCTCATTTTACGAGGACTTAATTTATGATCTGACTTCTGGTTTCCTATAGGCGCAAGCCCCTATAGTTAATTACCCCTCCCGATAACGAGAGAGAACTTTCGATTAAGGCTAGTCGTCAATCAGATACGTAATCGGATGGTGTGTGGGTAATGATGATAAACCCAATCAATACCCCATGGTTTCATCATCTCGGATTGTCATGATCCCTTATATACTTAGTTAGACAAGGTAGTTTACCCAGCCTAAGTGAAGATCTTTGTCAACAACTATGAGTTGCTTCATCTAAGAGAATCTTGTAGGCTCGGGTTGGATGTTTATCTAAGCGGATAAATTTATATCGACTTAGCTTACATGGAGCTTTGTGACCTTTCAAGTGTATTATATGATTCATTACTCAAGGGTTTTAGCCATCGTGAAACTTGTAGGCTTTGGTTGTGACAATAATTTAATGATTTCTTTCTATAGCAAAAGCACTATGCCTAAGGGTCTTGATCATAACTATTTACTTGTGGTGTCATTTAGAAGTAAAATCATCAGTTAGTGGACACATTCTACATCTTTAATGATGAGAGATCATTTGAGAATGAATTGTATTGATATGCTCGACATGACATTTGTCCATTGTGAGCTGAAGTCATTCTCAAATTTATTTCCCTTAACAAATGATTGTGGATATTGGTTGGATTTTGCTTTAAGTTCAGGGTGGTAGATTTCACTTGAATGATTTTAAATCTTGATAAATATTGATTTAGCATTAAACGTTTCCTTCGATGGAGTTTTTCTTTCAACAAGGCTATAATCAAGATTGTTAAGTATTCTATTTTGTTATCTAGAAACTCTGTCCTAGGTGCTAATAGAATATCAGACTCAAGTGTTAATTTTGT